GATGAGATGATGATAGTTTTGTGCATAATATATGCATCAGCAATCTGAAGAAAAACTTCTGTGAAGGCCTTAATTTTATCATCAATCGAAGAGTACTGTTGAACTATAGAAAACCAGTCAACTAAAGCTAATTGATCTCGATAGACATTCTAATCTGTATTTTGATGGTCATAAATTTTACGTTTATACTCAAAGCGAATTTGCCTTTGTGAGAATAGACTAAACTGAATAATAGAATGATCCCGAGACAGACAGAGTGAACTACCAACATTTAAATTAGATACGCAAGAAGAATTGTTAGTTAGACTTAGATCAAGACAAGATTTAGATTTAATTCGTGTGGGCTGATTAACAAGTTGAGTAAGACCTTCACTGAGCGAGAAATCGTAAAAAGCATCCCCTTCAATAGTTGACGGTTTAGTGGGCACCACTTAGCCGAATGAGCACTAAAGTCACCAATAATTACGATAGAATCAGATTGACGATGTGTATTAGAGCGAACTTTATGAAGAACACACGAAAGGTGTTCATTGAAATTTACATGACCAACCCAGTCTGGACGGTAACATACGGCTAATAAACAGGTTTTACCCTTGTGAAGTTTTGAGTCTAAAAATAGCGTTTCAAAGTCCTGATCTTCATAAGGAATGAGTCGTTTTACTTGTACATCATCACGAACAAACGTAAGAATCCCACCGCCTCGTTTTCCTACACGATCACATCTAATTACGGGTTGATAGCCTGAAACTAAAAATTTTGAACTGCCTATATTTCGACTAAGCCAGGTTTCAGTTACAGCAACAACAAGAGGTCCATCTGACTGTAAGATGTTTAGGAGTAAATCAAATTTTTGAAGAGCTAGTGGACTGTTTGAGTCAGGATCAATTTTACCTAAGACACTATTTGCATTCAAGAGTAAAATCGAACCAGGAGCATAATGATGTTTAACTTTTTGACTATATAACATTGTTGATATAGCAAGAAAAAACCTCACGCAAGCAGCCAGCTACATACCTAACCTCACACATCAGAGAAGAAAGAGAGAAGATATAACAGCAGACGAGAAAAAGAAGAAAAAGGCTTGAGAAACTTGTCCATTGTTTCTTCCAATATGTTTAAATTGTATAAAAGTGTGTTGTATGAAAGAAAAAGAATAGACTTTTACTTGGAAGAACAGTTTGACGATTAACAGCAGAAAGCAAAAGATTAAAAAGAAAAAGTCCTCGAAACGAATATTTAGATAGTGCATATATGTTACGGGCAAAACTGGAATTCGGTCAAATCTGAGATTTGCCCGGTCAAAACTGGGATTCTAGTTTAGACTAGAGAAATATTGGTCAAAACTGGAATCTTGGCAAATCTGAGATATTACAAGAGTGAAATGCACTTGTTATTTAAAATTGATAATCATGCTTTTTATATAATATCATATTGATATATCATGCAATCAACTGTTATTTAAATTTTTAGAATCATGCTCTTTGTTTCTCTAATAAAGACTGAAGACATTCTTGTACTGCTAAAACATACTCAAATCCTTACTAAATACTGATCTACTTAACCGCGAAAAGGTGGCATGATATCTAAGTAGTTTTTTCATTTTGTGTATTAATATATGTGCACTCAAATACGAACATTTACTAGTAAAACAATCTATTTCATTATGTACATGTGCACTCATCTGAATGGTAGTAAAGAAATCTAATATGTATTTACAGAACTTTTCTGAGTTTCAATCCTAAAAAAATAGAATAAAAAAGAATACATCCGCAACAGAAAATAGCTATGTACATTTGTTTTCATCAATATCAATCAACATGTAGTGTTAGCAGTGTACCTGAAAAGAACATTATGTTTTTTTAAACCATATTCTTACATTTACCCTTTTTTGAATGGCATTTGGTAAAACAGGCGACCCCGGCCTTTTTACAAGGACAGTGTTTAGTGGCACATTGGCTTTTACAGTCACAAGTAGCTCCATTTATTGCTCCACGGACATATAATTTCGAAGCTTCAACCAAAGACAGTTCCTTCTCTAAATCAAATAAATTAAGAGACTTTAATTCATTAGGACAGCTACTTCGTAGATCAATAAGACTTTCTATTCCAAATCTGTCTTTCAAGAATCCAAATTGGCACGCTAAAAAAAAAACATAATCGTCATCTTTCTTTTCTTTACTAACAACTAAGCATGGTAAAATTTTTGAATCTGTATTTGTCCTGTCAACAGTATGAATTCGCATTCCAACACAATCACTTTTTTTATACATTTCTGCCAAACTACATAGATGTTCATCATACACTTTTCTTCGTTTATTAGCTGTTTCTAAATAATTATCTTGCGCTTTACGCCGAATACTTTCATGTCTTATTGGGTTATTTTCTGATGAATTATAGTTTATAAAAGATGACGATGGTTGAGAAACACAATTACATTCAGTATATAATTCAGTAGATTACAACTTTATATAACGTGAAAAGAACAAAAAACCGTGCGATATACTTTTAACCATGCAGCACGTCTATACTCATTTTAAAACATCAAGAAATGGAATTTGACTATTAGTTTCCCATTCAATTGTGAAACCAATATTTCATGCCATTTGCTGCTTCTTTGAAGAAAATCATCGATGTCTTGATTTCTCTCAAAGATACAAATACATCGTTTACCTAACGAAACTAGACTAGTATCAATTGAAAATCTATTCAGTTTTTCTTCAATTCGTGTTATGAAAAGGTCTACCAGAATAGGACCGAGTAGCCATCCCATTGAACAGAATTCTTTTGAATGAACCAGATCTCCACATTTGCAGACAAAGTCCATGTAATCGCGGCCGATACTGCATGCATCAATCATACAACATTTCTCCATAAAACATAATGAACTAAGACATGACTTTGTTATTGTTTAGCACGTCAATCAGGAACAGCAGCAACCAGGTCTAATACAGGTAACTAAGTTTCTTCTATTGTATGCTAGTCTGACGACCAAATAGTATCTGCCTCTGATAGAGTATTTTCGCTTCGCCATCCACCTGCGACATTTTCCCAAAGCTGAACTTTCGTCTTGAGACGCACTTGCTGCCACAGGTACTGTCCAAGTGAATCACACTTTAGATATGTTTTGTCACAGGAATCCAGAGACAGAGTATATTTTTACGCAATAAGAAGATTCTGACTGTAAGTTTAATCTGCATATTGATTTTACGATACAGCGACATTACCGCGAATACAAAAAACGACATTACCGCGAACTACATTACCGCGAATACAGAGAACGACATTACCGCGAAGACTTGTTTGTTGGAAAAGCCGAATAAATGAGGCCAGTTTTGTATTTTG